TACTCTTGACTCGTTGAGCCCGAGTCCGGCAGTCTCCTCAGGTTGACATTGCTCGGCTTGATCCCTCGCCTCGCGTGCACTCTTCCAGCATCGGACACGTTATCCGCGAACTCTGCCGGCAAAGCTACGCTTGCCTCAGCTCCACGAAGTTCAGGTAAGAGACAGCCCCCGTTTAGTGGCGATTGCACCACCCAGACAGCTGCACATCTCCACACGATATGCATGCCTGGAATTCCCTAATCTAGCCCCTCGCGTCTCGTTTCCTCGTCCCGTCCTTTCGTCGGCAGCTCCCCCGTTACCCCAGCACCCAAGGCTACGCCGTGCCCCCTGCGTCGGGCTCTTCTCTGCATCGGCATTGGCCGCCCACACGAGCTGATCACCTTCCAGGAATTTCCATTGAGCCACATTTTCACAACTCTTCATCCTGAGCAGGGTTTACTGCCACATATACCCTGGGGCGCTCGGAAGCGTGACTTTTTATGACGGAGAAAACCCCCCCCCCCCTTTCTCCTAAAGGCTGTGCAAACTAGCCACATTGGCCACAACGTGGGCAGTCACTCATCTTCTGCAAATAGCTCAATCTCTTCTGTGGCGCTTCGAAGCACACATCCATCATATCTTTGTAATTCTCCTGCCGGGATCGCCTTAGTCAGAGTTGTCAACTTAGCAGCCAGAGGCTTGAACTAGTGCTTCGCGGAAGGTATAAACTACATAACGGACCTGCTTCTGGCGCCGTTTGGCACCGTTCGTGGGTTTCGGCGAGCTTGCTAACTTGGGCGAGACAGCTTGTGGGCGGCGTATACTCAAGTCCCAGGTTGCACCAACCACCTTACAAATGGGAGATGTTCAACCCCCACCCACTGCCACCGAGTATCCAGTCGTGGAATCTCACCAAGGCCTGAACGCTGTAGGTGCCTCGCCATATCTTCTTGATGAACAGTCAAGAATGGAAGCTCAAGGTGCAACTCTGCCGCAGTATCAGCAGCATCAACAGTACGGACCCCCGCAGCATGCCTTTTCATCCCAGCTCGACATGGCACAGCAACCCGCTCCTGGCCGCCCCGGGGCTTTCAACATGAACGGCATGGCGAACGCGCTTCCTCAAGGTTCCATGAGACACGGGCAATATTTGCCTGCTGGCCAGCAGCAACACCAACAGCAGCAACGATTCAGCCCTGCGGCGTCCTCACCGTCCATGATGCCCCAAATGCCTCAAATGGCTCCCCAGTATCCCGGCCAAGCAGCAATGCCGATGGGCAACCCGCACTACTACATGCCTCAGCACCATCAAATGCAGCATTACTATGCAAGTCAACTGTCCCCGACGCAGCAGCAGGCTCGACCAAACATGGGCTTCTACCCGAACCAGATGGTCATGAACCATCCGCAGAACAGCCACATACCCCAAGGATACTACTATCCGCCGGGTCCCTACCCTCACCAGGGGCAGGCCATGCCTAACCACATGGTCGCGGCGCAGTACCTTTCGACAACGAACACTGCACACGCCGATCCGAGAATTGTGCCGCCCATCAACGGCGTTGATCAATCTAATGTCAACGTCTCTCCAAACCACAAACTCGGCGGTCAGTCAACTCCGAAAGACTCGCAATTGCGTCTTGGTGCTCACATTTGCATAGAGGAAGGAGAGGGAAGATCTGGCATCGTTCGAGGGCCACCGAGAAAGCCGCGACAAAGCGGTAAGAGTTCACACTGTCCTCCGCCAGGCAAGGCAGAAAGTCATTGACAAAACATAGGCCATGCGATTTGGATCGGAAATCTGCCGCCCCAGACAGACCTCATGAGCCTAGTACACCACGTCTGCAAGGAAGCGAATGGACTCGAATCCTTGTTTTTAATCTCAAAGAGCAACTGCGCTTTCGCAAACTTTAAGGACGAAACAACATGCGTTACGGCGCAGCAGAAACTCCACGATTCGAAATTCCAGTCTGTCCGGTTGGTCAGTAGACTCAGGAAGAGCACGGTAGAAGGCGCGACTGGGGTAACGGCACCGACTGGTCCATCGGCGTCATCGGGATCCCAGACTCCGCACGATGTTCCTGTGCAGCCGACAGTGGTAGAAGCCTCGACTGAAGCGGCAGCTCCTGAGGCGGTCGAGACCAAACCGGCTACATCGGTCGATGCAGCACCTCAAAAGGACAAGTTCTTCGTTCTGAAGAGTCTGACTGTCGAGGACCTAGAGCTAAGCGTGAGGACCGGTATCTGGGCCACCCAATCCCACAATGAGGAGACTCTGAACGGGGCTTTCCAGGTGAGCAGAAAGTCGGGAACGCGGAAGGGTGCACTTGACTGACAATCTAGCAGTCTGTGGACAATGTATACCTTGTGTTCTCTGCAAACAAGTCAGGGGAGTATTTCGGTTACGCGAGGATGACATCGTCTATCAATGAAGACCCGGCGGCCGCGATCGAGTTCGCTCCGAAGGCACAGTCTGCGAACGATACCGACCTACCGAAGGCCATCCCAACCGAAGCCACCGATTATGCGCCGAAGGGCAGGATCATCGACGACTCGGCCAGGGGAACAATCTTTTGGGAAGCAGAGCGCGAAGATGGTGAGAGCGGCGACGAAGAGGAGGAGCAAAGCGACGTGAGCAGCAGAAAGAGTTGGAATCAGGAAGGAGATGGCACGACCAACAAGGCATGGGGCAAGCCGTTCAAGCTGGAATGGTTGTCGACCGCGCGATTGCCCTTTTATCGGACACGTGGGCTCCGGAACCCGTGGAACTCGAACCGAGAAGTCAAGATTGCGCGGGACGGTACGGAGTTGGAGCCATCCGTTGGACGAAGACTAATCGGTCTGTTCAATCGTGTTCAGAGCCCTCCGAACCCCGGGGCAGTACCAGCTGCCATGCGACCTGGGATGGCGATGATTGCAGGATATCCGCCGATGAGGCCGCAGTTCCAGCAGTGATTTGAGCCGATTGAGCCATCTCTTGCTTGAACGAATTCGTCGGGCGGTAGATGTGGTTCTCACTCAGAATTTCCTGAAAGAAAGACTTACCTTGGATCGGATATTTATGGTTGACGATGATGGTTTTGAGCATGCTTCAACGACGAGCGCATATGCGGGCCATGACGAGCGCAGAGATGGGACTTTTGGCTATACGATATTGGTCTTCAATGTACCTAATCCGACTGTCTAATTCTACGAGCAGGTACAATGTACACTAGGCATGGCCCGAGTCACGAAAAGAGAGGAGCATTTTGCTGAGACGGACAACTACAGAGACATGAAGGCGCGGCGTGAGCCGGCTTCAAGGCCAGGTCAGCAGGCTGGTGCCCGTCCCTACGCTTCATTATCAGCCTTTTCCCAACTGATTTTCCCTGGTGATATGAATGACTTGCTGCGCTACCAGAAAGAATAAAAATTGAGATGATGAGGTTGTGCGCTGCGCAGTCCCAAGACATGTCGTCGATCGACTGTGGCACTCAGGAGTGGCGACATCCACATTGTGGCTTGACCCTAGACGTCGGGAAGGGATGAACCCGGGGTCAAAGAGTCGAAATGCAAGGACAAAGTTTAATTGGAGAGGCCGCCGCTGGCATGGAGGGCACGTACCAGAAATGTCGCGATGTTGACCGTCAATTGTCCAGGTCGGCTTGCCGCTCAAGATGCGGGCCCTGTAGCAAGCGCTGCTGCGGGGAGATTTGGAGAGCCGTCGGACGCCGTGTTCGACCTGGACATGCTGCTAGGGTCAATCTGGTCTGGCTTCCGTGGCCGCTTGTGTGTGCAGCGAGGTTCGCGAATCGCAGCGCCGGTGCACCGTTACATCGTGACGGAGGAAGAGTTTCGAATGATTTCAGGGCCAAGGCGGGCTTATGCCAAACATTGACATTGACTCTCGGCTTTCGTCAGAGCATATGTGTGTGTGTGTGTACGCAGTATGTGACACACTTATTGGAAACGGGCCACTCATACCTTTCGTTGCTGGAGTAGGTGTTGGGTATTTGGGGTCCCGTTTTCCTCAACTCAAGCCTCAGTCATCAGCCTGCATTGTCTGCGCCGGACGTTCCGTCCCAATGGTCGCACTAAGTAAACGCCCATGATCGAATTGAAACCAGCTGAGCGGCGTCACGAGACGACTGAAAGGAGATGTAAGGTCTAGACCCCTCATCTCCGGAGGACATCTCTCTCGGATGGGCAGAGGAAGACGTGGAGAGGGTGAGAGATGGAAATCGCCCAGTCCAGGCCTCAGCAGTACAGGGGTCCGTCCAAGAGAGCCCGTCTGATCCAGGAACTGGATATATGATTGGTCAGATACTTCTTCATGGACAGGTCGCACAGCGGCAGTTAAGCGGGGCCCCGGCCTAACGCCGAAACTCTAAATCCTGGGTGGGCGACGAAAGGCAGGAAACATTCTCCCGGGATCTATCTGTTTAGGTCGGGTACATATAGCATCAATCAGAATGCGCTGTTGATGAACTACAGAGCAGAACCGAGTGCTGAACGACCAAGCGTAAATGATGAAATGATGCGGACTTTGCCAATTGTGTTACTTTTAGTGGCATTTTCTTGCCAGGTGAGCCTTGATGCGAGAACCACGGTTGTGGAAGGTGCTGGAAGCTTCCACATGCTTCCACACGTAGAAGCACCTCGAAGCGTCTCGTGAAGCCATCGCCATATGCTTACCCGATAGAATCCTACCAGCAGGTTTCCATACACATTCGCGTCTCTTCCGTAGCACCCGAGCTGTTTCCAGAATGACCTGGCGATGATGACATGCTACCTTTCAGCGATGATTCCGGAACTGTGTCGAAGGCTTGGTAGTGCCTGCCTCAAGTGTATAAATCGACCGACTTGATCCCCATCTAGAGGACCTTTTTCTCCATCAGAATAACAACAACAAACAACAACAACAACAACAACAACAACAACAACTTCCAAACACCCTGCGACTCAATTCGCTTACAACTCAAAACCCAAACAAAATTCCAAGTGCAACTCTTTCACATCACAACCTACCCAACACGATCAAAATGGCCGCTTTCTTCCCCCGCAACTTCTACAACTCTGACGCCTCCTTCACTCCTCTCTTCCGTCTTCTGGAGGACTTCGACAACTATTCCCGCCAGGGCGGTCAGAACGGCACCACCCGCGGCACCCACCGCAACCACGTCCCGACCTTCCAGCCCAAGTTCGATGTCCGCGAGGTCGAGGATGCCTATGAGCTTCACGGCGAGCTCCCCGGCTTGAAGAAGGAGGACGTCTCCATCGAATTCACCGACCCCCACACCCTCCATATTCGGGGCCGCGTCGAGCGCTCCTACACCGCGGGTACTCCCCCCGCTGGTCTCCTCCAGCAGAGCAATGAGATGAGCGGTGCCATCACCGACGGCCAGGAACGCCCCCGCTCCGCGCACCAGGCCACTGTTGAGGACGATGACAACGAAACCAACTCCACCGCCCAGCCCACACCGGCCACTACTGTCGCCGAGGTGGACAAGAGCGGCAAGCAGCAGCAGAAGCAAGAAGGCCCGGTCGACAACGCCAAGTACTGGGTCTCGGAGCGCAGCATCGGCGAGTTCAGCAGGGTCTTCAACTTCCCTGGCCAGGTCTCGACCGACAACGTCTCTGCCAAGTTCACGGACGGAATCCTCACGATCCGTGTGCCCAAGGCTCCCAAGCATGAGACCCGCCGCATCCAGATTGCTTAAGCAAGCCCTTCGACTCGACCAAAAACACTCTTCCTTACGAACACTTTACGATTCTTGTACAATGGTAACAATCATGACGGCTAGAAATTCCGGGGTTTCGGAAACGAGATTGCATTAATGATCCTACAGCATGGCTTGGTGTTTCGGTCCTTCTTCATAGCACCAAACTGATGGAAGCGCTCTTTACTGGCTTGTAGATAGCAACTGAAATCAAACTTATTTTTTTTTAACGAAACCTGAAAGGTTCAAATCGAGAGATTGCAGGAGACGTGACCGTTGGATGGGGACGGGAAGGTCTAGACGGCGGAGTGCAATAGACCAGTTCTAATGACAAACAACACCACAAGCAGGCGATGCTGCCTGAATTCGTGTAAGCAGATGAATTATTGACTTTGCTCCAAATCTAAACTTCCGTCAGTGGCCAACGATATTAGCGTGGTGGAGACGCTAAAGCCAGGCAACAAGTGGGGCCGATTCTTGACTGAAGCCGGAGAGCGCACGTGAGTTGGTGTGGCACTTTCCTTGCCACTTCCTCGACGCGTCTTAAAACCCGCGTCGCCCACACAACATAAGCTCAGCGCCGCGAAGGACCCTTATCTCACCTCCGACATCGTGGTCTACACACACGTCAATCGATTCAAGCGCAGTCCAGGTCTTCCCAAGTCACAATGGCCGAAGCCGACGGATATGATGAAAGCAATATGGGCGACGAGAGCCAAATGACTGGCCCTGGCGCGCCCACGCCACTGACCGCTCTTGAGGTATATCCTTACTGTGAGGCATTGCCGACTCAAAGATATTGACTCTTGGTAATTAGGGAATCGCCGGGTTGACCAAGCGCGACATTCAGCTTGTTGTTGATGGCGGTTACAACACCGTGGAGTCCGTCGCGTACACCCCACGTCGAGTCTTGGAGCAGATCAAGGGTATCTCGGAGCAAAAAGCCACCAAGATCCTTGCTGAAGGTTGGAATTCTCATAGGGAAATGTGCGAAGTATTAATTCTGACATATCTGTAGCCTCTAAGCTTGTACCAATGGGTTTCACTACTGCCACAGAAATGCACCAACGCCGAAGTGAGCTCATCTCTATCACTACGGGTTCCAAGCAGCTGGATACACTTCTTGCCGGTGGTATCGAGACCGGGTCGGTGACAGAGCTGTTCGGAGAGTTCCGTACAGGAAAGAGTCAGATCTGCCATACCCTGGCAGTAACTTGCCAGCTTCCATTCGACATGGGGGGTGGTGAAGGCAAATGCTTATACATCGACACTGAAGGCACGTTCCGACCCGTCCGTCTGCTGGCCGTCGCCAACAGGTTCGGCCTCTCCGGAGAAGAGGTGCTGGACAATGTGGCGTACGCGCGCGCCTACAACTCGGATCACCAGCTGCAACTTCTCCAGCAGGCGTCTGCAATGATGTGCGAGACGCGATTCTCGCTCCTCATTGTCGACAGCGCGACTGCTCTGTACAGAACCGATTTCTTGGGCCGTGGCGAGTTGTCGTCCAGACAGACTCACCTTGCGAAATTTATGCGCACCCTGCAGCGTCTTGCCGATGAATTTGGAATCGCTGTGGTCATCACCAACCAGGTCGTTGCGCAGGTTGACGGTGGACCGAGCGCCATGTTCAACCCTGACCCGAAGAAGCCCATTGGCGGTAACATTATCGCGCATGCCAGTACCACAAGAATCAGCTTGAGGAAGGGCCGTGGTGAGACTCGTGTCGCCAAGATTTATGACAGTCCTTGCCTGCCGGAGAGTGACTGTCTCTTCGCGATCAATGAGGATGGCATTGGAGACCCAAGTCCCAAGGACCTGGAGAAGGACTGAGTACTGTCTGTTTAGCAGTTGGCAGTTGTATCAGTATGGATCTGGGCCACGATTCGGTTACGCGCACATGAGTGAGGTTTTGTTAACTCCCCAGTTGGCAGGAGGTGGCATGCATGGTTGTTGGCGTTGGACGGCATATTGTTTTCCTGGAGTTGTGGTGATTCTGCTATTACTCGACAGGAGAGTATCGAGATGTACCATTTGCTAGGTAGACGAGATTTATGGCACAAAATACGTAAACAGAACAAAGTTCGAAGTCATTCTCGACGCGCAAGTATCCTATCGTGACATAAAGACTTTCATGGATATGTCCAAAAGGCGGACAAGCTTCAACGTTGCACTGTGCATTGACAAACCGCACTGTCCAACGACACTGTAAAACAGCTGGTTGCTGTTTTGGGACTAGCCCCACCAACGCGCTTGGAGCCTGGCAAAGTGAAATTCCAACATCTCGAATCGCGACGAACTTTTGCTGCAGCATCAGATTGTTTGATGCGCCGAGCCCGACTCGCGACTCCAGCGGCCTCTTTCTTTCCCCCGAAGGTGTGAGAGGTCTTGATGAATTAGGTCCGCGCGAAGAAAGATGGATTCCGCAGACACGCAATACCTCTACCGAGAGACTCGTCTCAACCTCGAAGCGGCTTCTACGTCGTCTATCGTCAATATCCGCGTTCCCTCGCTGACATCCAACGGCAGAGGCGCAACTCGCAGACTGACCAACGGGAACAGCGGCAAGAATGTGAGCGAAGATGAGGTGGCTTTCCGACTTAAGAACCTCGCTGCTGCCTCGTCGGTCTACCACAGAAAATGGCACGATGCACCGCGCAGCTTCCTCTGGAGGTTGCTCGAGGACGGCTTGGTATTGAGCCTTCGTGTGGTCGATACCTGTCGCCAAGAAAAGGCGGCGGATGCGCCCCTTACGCTCACCTTCAGATTCTCGGTACCGGTCCAACCGTCCTGCATCGCCTTCGCCGACCCCCGCGAACACGATGCGCTCTCGATGTTCGTCCTCGACGAGTCTAACTCTCTCTACACATTTACTCTACGACCCGATTTTTTCAGGAAGCGCTCCGCGATTGAGACTGGTCCAGGCGATGCTTGCAAGGCTTACCAGCCAAAGGTCTTCGGCCTGAAGCATCCGCACCGAATGGTCGCAGCAAGCCCCGATCAGGTTGTCATTTCCCTCTACGATGGTGGCCTTGTGAGGCTCGATAAGAACAAGGCTCAAGACTGTATGTGCCACCCCATTGTGCTGTTGATATTCCTCATCCTGACATCCTACAGCCGCCAGCAACCCGTGGAAAGAGACGATCTATAATTCCCAAGGTTGGGCGCAGGGAATCCGCAACTTCCTCCCTTTCAAGCAGAACAACTCTATTCGATACCACAACATGTCCATGGACGCCAGCGCGGCCACATCGATACAGGTCACGGACCTGGGCTTGGATGATGCTGCCTTCCTGTTTACTGTCTGCCTCGACCACCGCATGCGGATTTGGAACTTGCGGACCGGACAAATCCTTTTCACCGGAGACATCCTGAACGCTGACCGCAACCCTCAAGAGATGGGCAAGTGGCAGATTGATCCATCTCAATCAAATCTGCTGCAGCTCGTTGGCGATGGTGCCGGTAAGAGGATGTGTGCTACCTATTCGCCTATCGGTGCCGGAGAGTTCAAGTTCTGGAATATCAAGGCTCATGATACCGAGACCGTCTACGTAGAGGATGCATTCCCTGAGACACACTTGGTCCCGTCTTCACCGTCATTGTCGGATGTCTGGACCCTCGCAGATTTCGTTCTTTCCAGCCCGTCGGATGGTGGTGTTCAGTTGTGGACGTTGTGGAAGAATAACATGACCTACCGGGTCCAGGAGTTGGAGCTCGATATGGACAATATTGGAGATTCTTGGGAGACTGAGTGGAACTCCGTGCACATCGATACGACATATCCAGCAGCGCAGGTCTCGGGCCCGTCGGACCCAACAGATACAACTGAGAAATGGCTGGAGCTGATCTTAGCACCTGGCCGTTTCACAAGAGCTACCTTGGAGACGGCCCTTTCAATTTACGAGAAGGGGCTGGGAGCCCAAAAAGACAGCGGATCGAGGGGGCAAAGGGGCTTGGCGGAGTCTATCTGTTCCGTTCTCGCTTCTACAGCATCTCTGGATCGCAACTCAGCCGGTGGCATGGACTATGAGCAATTCCGTGCGAGCAGCGAAATCCAATGGCGGAGATTCTACAGACTGCTGATTGAGCTAGACAAGCAGCGTGGCGAGGCGGTCTCTCTGATTCTCGATTCGGACACAGATATGACCTGGGTAGTTTGTGCCGATGCTGTGTCTGCCATCAGAGAATGCAGCTCACTCGAACGATTATACTATAACCTTTCGCGCCCAGACGAAGGATCAGAGCGGACAGCGACTCTAATTTCCACGGGAATCAACTTTGTTGACACAATTTCTGACAATATCCTGCAAGTCTGCAACGCGGCGCTGCGCCCTGAAATTTTTGAGGAGACGCCGAGGACGGATTACGAGCGGATTCAGTACATGTTCGACACCACCGCCATGTGGCGAAGTGTAAGCGAGGAGGATTGCGCGCAGGTCATTGAAAGCCTGGGGCAAAACTACAGCGGTGTGACGATGGAGCTGTACAACAGCCTCGCTGCCTTGATCGCCGCCAGCGTAGAGTCAGGAAGCCGCAAGACCCGGCAGCCTCTCACTGACTTTGGAAGAAAACTGATTGTCAAGGCTGTTCAGGAAACAATCGAGCTCCAGTGGAAGGTTGTCTTCAGTCAGATCTTACTATTGGTTCACATGGAATTCGACTGGGAGCAAGAGGAGGACATGCTATCCAAGCGATTCGATATTGGCAACGTGTTTCGCCAGTTGCTCGAGTCCCTCCGCAGGTTAGAGCTGCTTAGGTGGCTTTCCAAAACCGAGATCACAGTTCCAATTGGAAACAAGCACGAACGCAACGGCTCCTTCTCTGGCTCGCCAAGCGCCACCAAGCGATCTGGCGAGGAGACCCAAACCATCACCGCTTTGGAGGGCAATGTAGGACACCTCCTGGGCTTCGTCGATGGCAAGAACGAGCTTTTGGCCTCGAGCATCACAGATATTGTCAACGATTTGTGCGCATCAAACAGCGACATTGAGGTGTCACCTACCCTCATTCAATGCTCCTTGATCAGGAGAGAACGGGCCGATTTGGCCCTGGAGCTAAACCCCTTCTGCAGCCAAACGCCTTTCGCCATTTATATCCAGGGCCGAGTCTCCCTTGCCCTCAAAGATTTTGCATCAGCCGCTATTCATTTCCGCAAGGCGGCCATTGGAATGAGTACGCTTGCGGCGTTCTTCTTACCTCGTTCTTTGCTGACATGTACATTAGGTGTGAAGGATGTTGATGTCGACCGCCATAGCAGTGGTCTCCTGGACGACACGGAATGGAACCTGCTCAACAAGGGCCCTGCCCGTTATTATTGTCACACCGTGGCCCTGTTTGAGAAGGCCAAGGCGTACTCTTATGTTATCGAGTTTGCCGGTCTGGCTATTCAGTACTCTCACGCCAGCCCCGAAGCTGCATTGGTGCGAAGCGAGATGCTTAGTCGCCAGTTCAACGCAGCCACAGTGCTCTCGCGCTTCGATGTTGCTCACGCCAGCCTACTTGCCATGAAGGACAAGGCAATGCAGCACTCGTCCCTGCGCAAGCTGGTGGACAAGATGTGCGAATCTTATCACAACAAGGAACTAATGTCGCTACCCTTCCCTGGGCTGTCAGACTCCATCGATGAGATTTTGTCCCAGAGATGCAAGTCGACGATGGATGTACTGAGCGGCATCCCTTACCACCAAATACTCTACTCCTGGAGGATCAAGCACAACGACTATCGTGGCGCGGCCACGGTCTTATTGGATCGCATTCAGAAGCTGCAGTTCGCCGGCGAGGGTGACAAGTTCATTGGGGAGGACATCCTGGACACACCCATAACGAAGCAGTACCTGCTGCTCATCAACGCCTTGAGCTGCGTTGACCCGAAGCAAGCCTGGATCTTCTCAGAGGAATTGCCGCCTCCCAACTCGAGGGACGGCAACTTCCAAGGCAAGCGCAAGGTCGTCACGCTGCCAGACTTACGCAAACAGTACCAGGACGAGCTGGACAGAATCGCTGCCATCCAGAACAACCAGTTCGGATTCGAGGCGGACGACGCTATGGACATTTTGTAAATGGATGAATGACAAAAGGCAGACCCACAAGGCACGGCGATGGCGGCAGAGAGCATGTACAAATAACCAGAATCTTTCCGGATAAGAAGACTTCGGATACAGCAGATACCTCACGAATTGCATGGATTGGGCTTTGGTATTTTCGATGGAAGAGAAATAATTTCATTTTTCGTCTCAGTCAGACCCAGCTTCTTTACCCCAAACGCCGTGACATATGCTAAAAGTGCGTGACCACCGCTGGTTATTATCATACTTGCAGCATTGCAACACAGTTCTACGCTTGCGAGGGCTGTGGCATCAGCTTGGGGTTCTCGGGGGCAGCAGCCATGATCATAGTTTGACCTTGGGCTGCGTCCGGTGCTTGGCGGTAGAGAATGATTTCGGACTGTTTGAAATATCTTCGAGCATCTTCCAGAGGTTAGCAGAGGATTGGCCTGCTGCAGCATGCGCGCGGTCTCCTTACCTTCGTCAATGAGAACCAAGCTGAGGTAGTACCTGGTCGAAAACTTCTTGTTTACATCGCGGAATGTAGGGGTCAAGTCGAAGCCTCCAAGGAAGAGACGAATAGGGATAGTCTCTCCTCTGGACGGGGATCCGTCCATGATCTGCAAGCAACAGTCAACATCTATCCGCATATCTTGGAAATAGAGCCACTCACCTCGAAGCGCACCAAGGTCTCACTTTCGTTGTACTGGTTCGGCGCTGCGCCCGTCGTCTCCCTCCTGATAATGGACAGTTCCATATGTTTGATCTTGAGTCGGACGAGAAGGAAGTATATACGGCCAACAATGACGTCCTTAAGATGGTACTTGCTCTTGGAGTACTCAAACTCAATGTGCAGACAGTCCTCAATGCCGACGTCCATTTTGATGGATGAGTTCATCTCAGGGGGTATGCGGTACGAATAGACCCAGATATCCTTCTCGCGGATGACGTCGGCCATGCGGCGAGAGACCGTGACGCGGACGAAGTAGCGGAGCTTGACATTGATGCCATTGTACGACTCATACTGCTTCTCGACGTTTTTGAAGTTAAAGTCGAAGGTTTGAGGGTGCTGCAGCTCGCCTGGCGCCGCGAGCTCCTGGACGAGGGAGAGGAATTCGTAATGGTTACCACGGTCGAAGAACATTTCTATCGAAGAGATGTGAGTTTCGAATGTTCCAATGACGCGCAAACATGCGCAATCAGCAGAATCACCAGTTACATACCTATCGTGCCGATGAATTGGACCTTGATGCCGGTATGCTCTAGTCGCTTGCCGTCCTTGGGTCTGATGGTCACGGCGCCCTTGACAGACTCGCCGTCCATGTACAAAGGCGCTTTCTCGCGCCTGTTCTTGTCGAGCTTGACATCGACCATGGACCGCTCGTCGGCGTCCTCTAGCACGATGTCGATGTCGACGGGGGTCGAGAAGAAGTACGACATCTTGGCTTCGGTGGTTACCCGGATCCCGCGCGATTACTCCGTTTCGGGGATGCCTGATGGCTGGGATATATGCGGGCAAGCCAATTGTGGTGACCTCCTGCTCGGATCGGTTTCGTGGTTGATATGGCCGGGGCGATCGAACTCGGTGGTGGTCTTGGAGGAATAGCGTTGCTGACGTACGTGCATTCAATATCGCTGCTGCTGCTGCTGCTGCTGCTATTGCGCCGACCCATCCAGCTATCGGAGGTGGGCTGGGAGGAGCTCCCGGGCGTGGCCTCTCTCATTGGACAGATGCCACACGTGACAGTGCCAGGCAGTCAACATTGCTAGAGAGGCTAGTCTGGTCAAGATGTGGCTGAAGCTGGCCGGCTGCCCCACCAAAGGAGCGCAATGTGGCGTCGCCTCATAGTCCAAGTTGCACTCTTTACGTTGACGCTCGAGCCAGGTAAGTTGGGGAAGTCGCTCCCACTCGACTCACGTGCATGCGAGCCCTACCTTCCGAAAATAATCCCACAGCGAAATTCGACTTACGCCCGGCAAACTCTTTGGAGATCCGACCCTCAACGCCCAACGATACCCTCACAGACCAGTCGCCAATCGCCCAGCCGACAACCCCCCCGACGTCAAGATGAAGTACATTCACTCCCAGGAGTCCCTTGACATCCCCCAGGATGGTATGTGAACACCGTTGTCGTTGTCGTCGACAGAACGACTCCCGAGAAAAAGCCACGCAAACAAATACACAACCGTCGAACTCCACGGCCAATATGTGTGGCCCTGCGAGCTCCGCCGGATTCTGAAATTTGGGACACGAAATACTCTCTCCGCATCCGCTTATTCTATCTCTACGTCTCTTCAATGCCGGCCATGCTCTGCGCTCGTGCGCTGGGGAAATGCGACGTCAGGAAGAGCGATAATGGGATCGGCGGGGACGGAGAGGGTGTTTGGGTTGAAAAGTTTTAGACTGTGGATGAGCTCGAAAGGAGCAGTAGTGGCAGGCAATTGAATGCGTGCTGACTTGGATTCTCCAACAGTCAAGGTTCACATCAAGTCCCGCGTCGTCACCGTCGAGGGCCCCCGTGGTAAGTCTTACACATGCATCTTTTTCACCCTCTTTCGCGTTGTTGGCCAGCCACAGAGCAGCCGAAGTGATTCCGTCACGCAGCTAGAGAGGGTATCTGTCTTCTTGAGGAAGCCATGGGCTGACCAGATCAACAGGCAAGCTGGTGAAGGATCTCAGCCACTTGGCTGTCAACTTCTCCCAGCCCCAGAAGGGCACCATCAACATTGAGATCCACCACGGCTCAAGAAAGAACGTTGCCACTCTCCGCACCGTCCGCACCCTCATCAACAACCTGGTTGTCGGTGTCACCAAGGGCTACAAGTACAAGATGCGCTACGTCTACGCCCATTTCCCCATCAACGTCAACGTTGAGAAGAACTCCGAGACTGGCCTGTACGAGGTTGAGATCCGGTATGTATCAATGCACCCTTTCATATAGGCATTGTCGTACTGACTCTCAATTAGCAACTTCATTGGTGAGAAGCTCGTCCGCCGCGTTGTGATGCGCGCCGGTGTCGACGTCGAGGTCTCCAAGGCCCAGAAGGATGAGCTCGTCCTCTCTGGCAACTCTCTCGAGGCCGTCTCCCAGTCTGCTGCCGACATCCAGCAGATCTGCAAGGTCCGCAACAAGGATATCCGTAAGGTATGTTGTAACTTGAGTTGAACCCTCAGAAACCCCAGCATGCTAATACTGATCTAGTTCCTTGACGGTATGTACGTCTCTGAGAAGGGCAACATTGTCGAGGACCAGTAAACGCGACATTATCACGCAATGTGTGATGGTCTAGTGTTTTCGAGACCCTCGGTCTCTGCGGGAAATAAAAAAACTTCTGGGTTCTGGTCTGGGTTCTTATGACAAGGAGTGGCCGGGGTTCAATCATTTGCAGGCACAGCATAGCACCCAAAAAGATGGTGTCGTGTGAGTGTAGCACAGGGCTATACCATCAAAAAGCAAGAAGACGCACCAGCTCGCTTATGAGCGGTTTACTAAAATACTGCCTTTTTCAAGTCTATATGCATGAAACGAATTGGCGTTTATTGGTGAAAGGATACCTCTTCAAAAGCCACATGCCCTTCCCTCGCTTCGTATCTGGTGCTTGGTGACGAGAAGGTATTCTGCGCGAGCGCAGGCTGACTGGGCCACGAAGAGTTCGTTTTTGGCATTCGCCAGAGGCTAGGCGATGCGGGAAAGCATTCCGCTCTTTTGTAGGACACAATGTTATCGCAGACTTTGGCCCCAGTTTCGTATATTCATCTGAACATGGCTTCCAAACTCAAGTTCAAAGCAAACAATATGGCCTTCGCAAAAAGTTTAAAGTCAATTCAGTATGACGGAAACCTTTCGCCTGATGCATTACGGTGGCTTGTCAGCTTACGAGCTTACCACCAAAAGTTTCGTCTATAACACTTGAATCGTTCTGACATCGTACATGCTATGCTTGGGCTATGTGTGTGTGGTATGGAACGCGCCAAGAAAAACTTCGGAATCGCTCGAAAGGAGAGAGCCGCCATGTCCAAGAGATCTTCTCTCACACCCCTTTTCGTCGTCGTCTTCGTCTCCTTCGTCTCCAAACCCATCATTCCACCCCGTTTCGTCGTAATCGTCCCAATCTCGCGTTCGTCTCTGAAATCAGCGTTCCTCTTCGTCGCCGAATGTTTCATCTCTCATGCTGTGATGTTGTTGTCTTGTGCCCTTCTGGTGTCACACTCAACAACCTAAAGCCAAATTGTGATTTGTTCCCCCTTAAACGCCGGTTGAAAGTAGAGAAATAATACCAATTTTTGTACGTCCGAAGCATGTTCAAGCCTCAAAAACAAAGCCGGTCAAAGAGACATTCGAAAGCACATGCATCTTGGCGAGTCTCGAGAAGAACTCAGTTTTCTACCGCCGTGAGTGCCGCGTAGTGCGGGTGCCACGCGTGTGGCCCGTTCGGTGAGTTCTTCCCCCAGAGCTTGAACTGCCTAGGTAGGAGGTCAGATTCGATCTAGTCCGAGAATCCCATGAAGACTCACTGGGACTTGTCCCCGTGTAGGAGTAATACGAGTCGGTGTATGTTGATCGCTCGGGCTTGCGTGCGGGTTTGTCCTTCTTCATGTTCAACAGAGCCGCCATGGTTGCGGCCGCGGCGCCGAGACCCAACCACTTGGCGCCCTCCTTCTTCTCTTCCTTGCGACGAGAGGCAGATGCGGGGCGGCCCCCGCCGAACCAACCGCCGTGAGATGGGCGATGAGAGTGAGCCGAAGGCATGCGGCTGCCATGACGCGAATATCTCTCTTCGACAACCTCGACACGCTCGCGACTGCGTTCCTTCTTCTTGCCACCAAAGATGAGGCCCCAGAGACCACGGGCAATGCAGCAGAAGCAGAGCAGCATGAGCAGGCCGAGACCAGCGAGCGTGCCGATGACGATGCCCGCAATGGCGCCGCCGCTCAAGCCACCGCCAGTACCTTCATCGGCGATTGGTACCGCGGTTCCGGTTCCCGTTGCCGTCTGGGATGCGAACGTGCCAGTGGCCCCGGTGCTGGTGACCCTGTAAGGAGCAGAGAACTGTGTCGTGATAGGAACGCCGTTAGAGGTGATTGTTGTGATGTCCCAGCCCTTCTGGGCGCATTGGCCAGAGTAGGCGCAGTACTGGTTAGAGGCACAGCAAATGCTGCCGCACGCCGTCTCTCCGTCGTTCTGAGGAACGCAAGTCGCGCCGGTGCTGCCTCCTCCCGACGCCTTTGTCGTCTCGGGCCAATTGGTGGTGACTGTGCTCGTGAAAGTGTTCGTCTCTGTCCATGTTGTAGTGTAGATGCCATAGCCTCCGCCGCCATTGACTGTGCTACAGCCAGCAATGTTGTTAACGGTGTAGCACTGCTCGCCAGAGCCGCAGCAGTACTGAGAATCAGCGCCACATCGCTGGACACAGTCGCGTTTCATGAACTTATCACCAAGCTCGTAAAAGAGGTTGTTGGCGATGTTTTGCAAAGGATACGGATGGGCGAGAATCGGAGTGGGGGCGGAGGCCAAAAGAACAAGGCCGGCGGCGACCCAAGAGGCCGCGCCCGATTGCTTGTTCCGGCCCATTCTGACGGAAGGCGCAACGCGGCGTGGTCGTGGGCCAGGAATGTGAAGAGCCGGAGAAAAAAAACCGGCAGGAGGAAACACTGGCAAATCGCGGCCGACGTTTGCAGCGGGATGTGTCGCGGAGCTTGTCTTGTCTCGTCGCCGCGAGGGCTACGGTGGATGGGTGTGTAGGTAGGCAAGCAGGAGGAATGATCAAGAGAAATAATGAGGTATTAATGGCTGGGTAAAGAAGAGCGTGGAATGTGAGAAGAGCGAGTGAGCTGGCCGGCCTAGTCTGTTAGTGTGCAGACCGCAAAGTGTAAGCCAGCAGCTGCTGTATTATCGACAGGGTCGCTCTCGACGGTTGCAATGTTTTTTGAGAGTTTTGCTAGAGGGGAAAAGACCAAGAAATCGGGAAAAGAACAAAATCTGCAGGCAAGGTGACTTTAAGAGAGGGTAGCGGACAAACTGGAGCGTAGTATTACTTGGTTTGGGCAGAGAGTCTTTTTTCGCGGGATTCCCAACCTCCTCCTCTCTTGGGGCCAAGTCCAACCTCTTCGATTTTCCGCTGCTGTCACCACACCCGCATCCACACTGACACTGACACTGGCACCCACAATACTACCTACCCTCGAATGATACGAAATGTCGCAGGGATCTGGTCTCACCGATTAGCTGTCCAGTCTGCAGTCTGCAGCGCAGGGCGGAGGCTCTGGAGCAAGGCTTCTCTGCGTCTCTCTCTCTCTTTCTCCCTTGTGATTGCTCGATTTCGTCGCAGCTGCTGGCAGACAAATTCTGGCGCTGTTCCTGAAGATCGGGCACCGGGAGGTGAGTCTTGAATTGAAAAGGCGAGGGTATTAAAGTGGTTCCATGGCGCTGGTGCGGGGAGATGCCTGTGTGAGCTGGCAAACGAATGGCCTTCACTTTTGTGACTGGTCCGGCTCAGAGCGCCTGGCCTCCACTGTTTACCTGCAGGGGTCGATCCGTCCACTGGGCGACGACGATGGGGACGGGGGCGCTGGGCAATCGATAGGAAAAGAGCGCAGGAAAAAGAGGTGACGACGGGAGCCAGTTCCAACTTCCCGTCCGGCGCCCTGTGTTTCCCTGCTCTAGCGGCGTGTTCCCTGCCGTTTCTCACCCTTACACCGAGTTAAGTTGCACCTTCCTTCCTTGGCAGCACTCTTCTCTGTAGAATCGGGCGATGTAAGCTTGCTCATTCGCTGCCACCAGTTCAGACGTCTTAATGTGAGGCATCGCCTGCTTCGCGAAAGAGATATGCTGCGGCGTGGCACGCTCTCCCACCTTGCTGTCACTACCTTACAGCACTAAGCCCCTAGGCCCTCAGCCGTGCAAACAGCATCTGTGAGGCGCATAAGGCAGGCGAGGCAGATGGCGGTGCAGTGACAGCCGCTATAATTACCTTGTCGCTGTAGTAGTGACATCGCGTTGACATCTTACTAGCCGACTGTCCGTGGGCTCCGGATTGTGCAAGGCCGACGGGATGTGTTGTACGGCGCATCGTCTACGCGAGCACTCCCACTTCGAATCGACGACGTATCTGTATGTTCCTGGCTAGAGCCGCCCCCCGCGTTATCCTGGGACCGCCTCTAGAGAGGTCTCCTGCATGGCGTGGGCCATTCCAATCATGGGGAAACTGTGCAGCGCATGCCGATTTGATGAAGTTGACTGTGACAGCGGAGGAGTGCTGCCCCTGAATAAAATTGGGAGGCTGGAAGTCGGGGCAAACGACATCATGGTTGCTATTTGGAGCCTGGAGGTGTGAAGAGGCACATAGGCGAGAAGCCAAGCTCCGTGAGAGTGGACAGGCTGGGCACGACCGAACAAAGGTCTCCAAGGTGGATGGTGCACCGCCGCACCTGCCCCAGCAGCTGGCTTCCTATGGAGCTGTATGACTGGCCACTTGTAAGCTTTGGTGGATCCTAGGAAGCTCTCATCTGTGGCTGACTTAGAACTGGACCTCGAGCCAATCAAGCGCGGTCGCTGACGCTGTGACTTGCAGCAGGGAAAGTGCACCCAAAAGTGGGCGTGCGCGGCTGCGGCTGCGGCTCGAGTGTGCTTGCTACGTTCATCAGACAGCTCCCACCTGCGACGACTACCTATCGAAGCACGCCGATTCCATCTACACAGTTCATCCTCAACTCCCTCGGCGACGCACCTCCATCCATTTAGAAGCCGCCAGGGTCGCTCTCTCTCACCCACCGCCCCAAATGTCGCTCGATCCTCCCACGTACCTGGCCTCGCTGCAAAGCAACATTCGCCAGCGGCCAATCCCCTGGGATGGCGCTGTTAGGGCAGGCACCATCACCGAGGACCACCTGGCCCGCATCCGCGCCGTCGACAAGGCGAAGAAGCCCGAGGCAAGGAAGGACATTGTAGAAGGCGATCTCGATGGCTACCGCTCACTCTTTGTTGGGGAGCCCGGCAAGTCCAGCGTGCTGGAGTCTGCTGGAAAGCAGGCGAACGTCGTTCAATTCGTCCTCGTCCTGCTAGCCGACCTTTTGCCTAGTACGTCATGCGCAACTGTTCCCTATCAAGCCGCCTTCCTAGCAACCAACTCCTCTGCCCTAAGAATCGTATGCTCCGAGATTGATTGCGGCGCTTTAATCTTCATATCACGCGGACAAGATCGAACCTGAGCTAACCTGATCGACCTCGTTTCACAGGCGTACCGTCACTCGCAAAGGCTCTTATTAAGAATACAGACCCCTACAAACACTTCCTACCGTTGCTCGCGCACTCCAACAATACCGAGGACCCAATCCCGTTGCTCACGTCGACTGCTCTGACCAAGCTGATGTCTCTCGCGCTCGACGAATCCCAGGCGACACGCAACGCCATTCCCGTCCTGCTCACATATCTCTCGGGCCTTGCCAAGAGCTCCGATGCGGGTCTTCAAGATATCGCAGTCCAGGAGTATTCCTCGCTACTTTTCGGACGTGTGTCGCGGCAACAGTTCTGGAACCAAAGAAGCGAGACAATTTCTCCTCTGATCGACATTCTTAAGACTGCTGCGGGCATTGGAAGCAACGGCAGTTCTTCCGCAAGCATATGGAGTGGTAATGCTCCTTCGAGATCCACCGGCTTTGAGGGTTCGCTCGGTGGCGGAGTTGGGCTTCAGCTATTATATCATGTTCTGTTGGTTGTCTGGCAACTGAGCTTTGAGGCTGAAGACATTGGTGACGACCTGAACGAGTACGGTGCCCGGGAAATCCATGACTATCTCTAAGCTAACGGTTGGCAGCGAGTACGACATCGTCTTGTTGTACACTCAGCTTCTTCGCCTGTCTCCGAAGGAGAAGACAACACGTTTGATTGTGTCGACGCTTCACAATTTGCTCGAAAAGAACCAGAAATCACTCCTCCCTACCGCAGTGCTTGCAAGGCTGCCTGCACTCCTCGAGAATCTCAGCGGCCGTCACTTGACCGACCCCGACCTCTTGGAAGATCTCCAAAAATTAAAGGAGCTTCTCGAGGAGTATACCAAGACGAAGACTACCTTTGACGAATACGTTGCAGAAGTTGAATCTGGTCATCTTCGGTGGTCCCCGCCTCACCGAAGCCAGGTTTTCTGGGCCGAGAATGCGCGCAAGATTCTCGAGCATGAGAACGGGCACGTCCCCCGCAAACTTGCCGATATCATGAAGAGGCCATGGGACAACGACAAGCAGGTGTTGGCCATTGCTTGCAATGATGTCGGAGCTTTGGTCAAGGAGGTTCCGGAAAAGAGGTACCAGCTGGAGAAGCTCGGCCTGAAGACCAGGGTCATGGAGCTCATGGGGGACGCAGACGAACACGTTCGGTGGGAGAGCTTGAAGGCGTTGGGGGGCTGGTTGAAGTACAGCTTTGACGGCTAAACATGGTTCCAGCACAACTGGGACCATGGGCCAAAGCACGTGTGAGTATAAATCGATGGGCGGGCAGCATTATCCAGGCAGTTAGAGTGGATCAGGAGTCATTTCGAGTGTGCCATGCTTTTATTTCTCGCAGCCCGACTGCTGCCAGCCGCCGTGCCGACGGTCTCGGCCGAGAAAGTGATGTGCTTCTTCTTTGCCCCCGCATCACGCCACGAGGTTGACAGCACACCACGCGACGGCGTGTAGTAATTTGAACAGAGCATTATGACGATGTACCAAGACTTGATGATGATGGTGATTATCGTGATTATCGGCGGGGGTGACGGTGCTGGTGGTGCGTATGTGTGTGTGTGGCCTTCCTTCGCCTTTCGCCAGTCGCTTTTCCTGTTTTCCGCAACGTGAGATTTATGTGTGGGGGTCAGTTGCGCACCTGATGAGCAAAATCCGCCCGGCGGATTATGGCCCGAGTGGCCCAGCATGACATTTTCCCAACGTCAAGACTTTGCCGATTTGGCCCCGTCTGGGACCCCCGTCCGGCCCCCGTCTCGCGGCCTTTGCCAGCCCAATGGGAGGGATCAGTGGAGCTATTCTAAGGCACAGCTCCTCGCGTGCGCCAGAGATGCTCCTGTAACTCCGATGGGACCCCGCGGCGTTATGTACTCCGGACCTTATCATACGGGCGGTACGTGCCCCGGCGGGTCGACCACCCCACCGCGTAGTGGACGTCAACCCCTCAATAATTAGCGGTTCTAGATTCTAGAATGTGGGAACAACCCAGCGAAACCACGGTGACCCAAGCTCTGCCCCGCTAAAAGAGCTGACCTGAGTTCAGGGTCCATACCTTACCATAGCTTCCGAGGGTCGCATGTTCCGTCGCAGCTTTCAGTGAACCCTCCCGCCCTCAACAGAACCTTCACGAAAACACACCCGCTCAAAAATACACATAATCCGTCCACACCGCTCCCTCCTCGGCCGTCTGCTTTCTTCCAAATCACATACACACACGACCATCCAACATACACAAACAAGATGGCGCCCAAAGCTATTGTTGCACCCTCGATCCTGGCGGCCGACTTTGCCGACCTCGGCGCATGCTGCTCACGCACAATTTCTCAAGGAGCCGACTGGCTTCATGTTGACATTATGTAAACACACCCCGCCAGAACCAAACCAGCCGAGAGCGTCGCGAGATCCAAAATACCAGACGCACGTCTGTCTTCGAACGACGCTCGAGAGCTTCAGGTCCGACAGAGCTGATCTGTGCCACAGGGATGGACACTTCGTGCCCAACATCACGTTTGGGCCGGGTGTCGTGAGCAAGATCCGCGGCCATGTCACCAAGCCCTCTGAGAAGGACGGCAAGGGAACCTTCGATTGCCACATGATGATCTCAGAAGTGAGTCTCAAGTCAAGCTCTGATGGTGACAATGGTCACCAGGCAGCCAAAATACTGCAGCAGTCAACTAACGAGCTATGATTCCCTCCAGCCTAAGAAGTGGGTTAAGGAGTTCAAGGACGCCGGCTGCGATCTTTACTGCTTCCACTACGAAGCCGCCTTCTCCTCCAACGCCGAGAGGCCCGAGGACAAATCCGACGAGACGACGAATCCCAAGGCTCTGATCCGCTACATTCACGAGCAAGGTCTTCATGCTGGTATCGCGATCAAGCCTGCAACGCCTGTTGACGTTCTCTGGGATATTCTTGAGAGCGAGGACCCTCTCGAGAGACCCGAAGTGAGTTTCCTTTGGTCCCGCCGATGCGCATGTTACACGACATAGGGTCTCCGTTCAGGTCAATACTAACTCGTCAAACCACAGATGGTCCTCGTCATGACGGTCGAGCCCGGCTTCGGCGGGCAAAAGTTTATGGCCTCTGAGCTGCCCAAGGTTCAAGCCCTGCGCGAAAAGTACCCAGACCTCAACATTGAGGTCGATGGTGGTCTCGGAGCCGGCACCATTGACCAGGCAGCCGATGCTGGTGCGAACGTCATTGTGGCAGGTAGCGCTGTGTTTGGCGCAAAGGACCCGTCAGAGGTCATTTCAATGTTGAAGTCGGCCGTGGAGAAGAGGATTGGCAAGCTCTGAAAATGGCATGTGGCGGGCTACCAGATGATGTTTATGACTTTGATGTGTGCGCTTCTTTTGTTGGTTGATTTATATTTGCGCGGGGACAAAAAGGAAGCAAGCCATGCGTTTTTATGTGCGGTACATATTACAACTAAGTCGGACAACGCGCTCCCCTAGTGGAAATGCGTTGGTCTTCTTAATCCTAATTATATACAACTAGACAATTTTTTTCTTTCACTTCTTTTGCGCCAGCGCTTTGTCCAAGGCGGCAACGAAGCTCTTGGTTTCTTCCACTATAACGGCGTCAGCTCTGATTCTGCAGTAAGAGAACATTGGCGAAGACTTACAGCTGTTGTAATGGACCATACTGACCCTGACGATACCATCCGATGGATCTAGACCAAGCACATCTTTCAATAGACGATAAGAGTAGAAGTGGCCCCATCTGAATCCAAAGTCTGTTTCCTTCTCGACGGTCTCGACCAACTCTCGCGCGCCCCAGTTCTTCACTCTGAAGCTGATCGTTGGGACACGGCGCTCGGTGCCTGCATCTGACTCGCCATAGATGGTTACATCCCCCCGGCCGTTGAGATACTCTAGGAGGGTCGACTGAAGCTGCCTTTCCTGCTCAATCTTCCCCTTCCAGCCGTCCGAATTCGGCGTACCGAGATACTCTAGAACCTTCGGCACGGCGGAAACCAGCTCGTAGCTGCCACCCGCCAAACCTAGCTTGCCCTCGAGCGTATCGCCCTGGTTGAAGAAGTGTCCCAACGACCGCATATGGGTATTCTGCGCCTTACGACTGGCGTACAACATGGCCGTGTGCGGGCCGTAGACCTTGTACCAGGAGAAGGCGTAAAAGTCAACATCGAGGGCCTTGACATCGATGGGCCGGTGCGGAGCATACGCCACGCCGTCGACGCAGACGAGACCCCTTGGCGTGCTTTCGTGGACCAAGGATGCGATGGCTCCCACATCGTTGATTGTGCCGAGAATGTTGCTCGCATGGGTGCAGGTTACCAGGCGAGTCTTGTCTGAGAGCAGAGGCTTGAGATTGTCAACAGTGAGCTTGGGGTTGGGCGAGTTGTCTGGCTTCCACCACTTGAGAGCCAGATCCTGGTGGGCGGCGAGATCGACCCAGGATGCAATGTTGGCCTCGTGATCAACTCCGGAGACGACGATCTCATCGCCTTTGCTGAAGGAGAAGGTGTGAGAGAGGTTCCTGAACAGCTGAGTGGTCGAAGCGCCGAAGACTGCTTGGTCAGTTGAGATACAGAGGGTGGGATTGGACATTGTTACCAATTTCATCGGGGGATGCATTAATGTACTTAGCCCCGGCCTGGTAGCCGTCACCGTAGAGAGCAGTGGAGCGCTGGCCAACTTTGTATGAGGCTCCTAGCTGAACATTGGTCTGAGAGAGATAGTCGCGGATCCTGCGTCGCGTCAGTGGGTTGCGTGTATGGCGGCTACAGGGTCCAAGAACGTACGAGTCTATGACAGTCCCAAGAGTCTGACTTCCACCGGCGTTATCAAAGAAGACTTGGTCCTGGCCGAGGGCAGGGAACTTGGCTCTCGTGGCCGCGATGTCGATTTGTGCAGACATTGTCATGTTCGACTTCCAAGGCTTAGCTTTGTGTCCAGAGTATTAGAACAATAAGTTCTTGCAATGAGGTGTTTGTAAAGTAGAGGAGTTGCTGTGCGTGAGAGATAAGACGTTGGATGGATGACTCGGACTCGACAAGTTTAGCTCTTAAAGAATGGGACACTTGCAGTAGCTCTATCGGATTACAAGCGGGGTTGAGCTGTCTTTTAAATTGAAGCAAGCACGCGGAGAAGCTGGGTCAAGATGCCGGCGAACTGCCCAATCGAGACACTAATGACCAAGAAGACGCACCTGGAGCCGCAATCGACGCCAATGAATGGGGACGCATGACACCAAGAGGACGGGCGGCGGGGTGCTGAGGGACGCGGGGGTCCATCGGCGGTTGGCAACGGCTCGCCGATGGGTCCGCTGCGGTCTTCAAAGCGCGGGCTCCGTCCCAACCCCGCGTGCTCGGATGCCACACCATACTCACGCTGGCTGAAGTTGGCCGGCTCTTCATGATGCGATAGTCCTTCTCAGCCTGTTTTGAACTCCCCAGCGCCTAAGAGTAGTACCTTATGCTGCAGGCGACGGCATTGGCTACTTACTCACAAGTCAAGGCTGGCGGTTTGCATTGTTACTCGACAACGAAGCACCCGGCGCTTGGGGTGTCATGCAAGTTCCTGGAGGCATTTGAATGAAAACAAGATCCCCCTCAAATGTGCGTCCCGTCTGCGCTTATCTGCATTGCCAATTGTGTGACCGGGTCGCATTTCACCCTTCTTCGTTGAGAAGACTCTGACCACCAGACTGAGCAGCGGTGTAATTAAGAAACCTAGCAGGGCGCACCCAACGTCACGGTGGTGGACGGGAGGGCGCATTGCGGTGCTCTGCAGGGGCCAACACCGAGCCATGGGACGATTTGCCGCGAAAACAGCTGCTAGAATGGGCAACAAAAAAAACTTTATGTGGGACCTCAGCCCACGTCCGATCGAAGCTCTCGACCCAGATATGGTCTGGGAAGTTGCCAACAATTTTTTTTTCTTTTATCTCTCCTCCTCCGCGCAGAGCAACACCTCCCTTCCCTCACAGATCCATTGATTTCCCATAATGAAGCGCAAGGCTGAATCGCGGATTGACGACAAGAAGAAGTCCAAGAAGAAGTCCAAGACGAGTGAGCGAACCAGCACCTTTCTGTCAAGAAATGACGTCGCACTAACACCGAGTCCTACAACAGCTCTCTCGGCCGACGTCGCAAAGTCACGATTCCGCAAGGGCCTCTTCGACTCCAACGTCCTCGAGTCCTACACCGACGAGTACGCCAAGTCGAGCCCGTACAAACACTCCGTAATCACCGGCCTTGTCGACGACAAGCTCCTGCGCTCCGTCCGCGACGAGATCCGCGAAAACGTCTCCTTCACCCCCAAAGAGACCGACATCTACAAGATCCACCAGTCTGGCGACCTCGCCAACCTCGACGGCCTCGACGATGAGGCTCTAGCCAAGCTCCCCTCTCTCCTCTCTCTGCGCGATGCCATCTACTCCGAGACTTTCCGCAACTATGTCTCCCACATCACAGGCTGCGGCCCATTGAGCGGTCGCAAGACCGACATGGCCATCAACGTTTACACACCTGGCTGCTACCTCCTCTGCCACGACGACGTGATTGGCAGCCGCAAGGTCAGCTATATCCTGTACCTCACCGACCCAGACAAGCCATGGAAGGCCGAGTGGGGCGGTGCTCTCCGTCTGTTCCCTGTCGACGAGCTCGAAGGCAAGGACGGCGAGGTTGCCAAGACGCCTGCGCCGGATCACACCAAGGTCATACCGCCGGCCTGGAACCAGCTTTCCTTTTTCGCCGTGCAGCCGGGTGAGTCCTTCCACGACGTGGAGGAGGTCTACCACGCCGAATCCAAGGCTCAGCTCGAGGAAGATGGTGGCCGCATCCGCATGGCCATCTCTGGCTGGTTCCACATCCCCCAGATTGGCGAGGACGGATATGTAGAGGGTGCCGAGGAGAAGCAGGTCAAGAACTCGGGTCTCATGCAGTTGCAGGGCAACCCTGACCAGCACGACACCCCGCGCCCGCGGCCCGTCAAGATCAACGAGCCCGGCTCGGATCTGGCAGCTGGCTTTGACGAGGCAGGCCTTGAGTTTTTACTCAGGTACATTAACCCACAGTACCTAACGCCGGACACGCTGGAACAGATCACAGAGCATTTTGAAGAGAATTCGAGCATCACGCTCTCCAACATTCTGTCAAAGAAGTTCAGTGCCCGGTTGAGGGAGTACATTGAGTCTCAGGAGAAGGCTGTGCTTCCAGAAGACAGCAGCAAGATCGAGAAGAGGTCGGCGTGGCGCGTCGCCCGTCCTCCGCACAAGCACCGCTATCTCTACCAACAGCCTGCAGGCGCTGACGAGCTACGCAGCTCGCAGGAGGAGAACCCCTTGACAGAGCTCCTCGATAACCTCCTCCCCTCGCGTCAGTTCCGCGAGTGGCTACAGGTTGCTACCGGCACGGTCGTTGAAAGCCACGAATTCCTCGCTCGTCGATTCCGTCACGGTCTGGATTACACGCTCGCTACAGGGCACGAGGGCAAGCCGCGTCTGGAGTTCAACCTCGGCATTACCCCGTCAAAGGGTTGGGGGGATGATGATGAAGAGGAGGAGGAGGAGAAGCAGGCTGGGGAGGAAGAGGTAGAGAAGTCAAATGGCAAGTCCAAGAAGGATAAAAAGGGCAAGGGCAAAGCTAAGGCCAAGGCCAAGCCGGAGCCTGAGCCGGAAGAGGAGCTTGAGGTTGGTGGTCACGAGGTCTATATGGCCGGCGACGATGGCGAGGAGGAAGAGGATGCGGCGATCTACAAGTCAAGCGGCGACGATGACAATATCCTCTTCTTCCAGGCTGCGGCGTGGAACAAGCTCACGCTGGTGCTTCGCGATAGCGGTACTCTGCGCTTCGTCAAGTACGTTGGACGTGCTGCCAAGGGCGATCGCTGGGATATCTCGGGTTCCATTGGCATCGACGCCGACGACCTCGAGGCTCAAATCAATGCCGAGTCCGATGACGAGGATTCGGAGGAGGACGAGTGGGACGGTTTCTCTGACCCTCCTGCCGGAGAGTCGAGCGAGAGCGACTAAATCATTCCCAATTGTAACGACATGTAAAAGAAAACGACATTGCTTCCCCGTTTCCAGATTATGTAGGAATTTGCCGGTAGACCAAAAGTAATGAATGACAACATGATTTCTGGATTCTTTCTACTCATTGCAACCCAAAGCTCGCAGAGCCATGCTACGGAAAAAGACAGCGCCAAAAAAGCCGCCAATCAAACACGCCAGGTTGCAGCCATGTAAATGCTTCATTTTGCAAACGTGCGTATTGCTCGACTGAAAGAAGACGAACAGGAAAAAGACAAATTTCGCTACCCTTGATCAT